AAATGTTTCTTCAGCAGCAAATCAGCATATTAGAATAATTTTCAAGGATCATGTGACACTGAAGACTGTAGCAATGATGCTGAAAATTCAGCTTTACCATCACAGGAATACATTATTTTAAAATATATTAATATAGCAAACAGTTTTTTTAAATTGTAAAAAAAAATATGATCTGTATTACAAAAATGCAGCCTTGGTGAGCAGAAGAGATTTCTTTCAAAAACATAAAAAGACAATACTTGCCCTGAACTTGTGTACAAGACAAGAGTTTCTTCTTCACCAACATAATTTTGTTCTCTGGTACAACATTTTAAATCCCCTTGCGTTGTGAATAGGCTTTTAAGGTTATCATGATGTTTCCACAGGATATATACACTCGCGGGTTGAGGAGGAGTACCTTTGGGAATGCAAGCAGTTGGGCGCTCTATCTCCTATTGTTCTGCTCAACACGCTGCTCTTTTTTGGAGCCAAGCTGCTCAACCTGAAAACGACTGAAGAGCATCGACGTCTTGCATTCGCCAATGTCACCCACTCCTCGAAGGCCACCAAAAATGGCACGACCTCCTATCTTCGGTTCAGACTGCCTAGCAAGGAAGAGGAAAAGGACAAGAAATGTAAGAGCTGTGCTGAAGATGCCATGACCACAATGTGTTTGAATCTTTACAGAGCTCCTAGTCATGTGAGCGTGCATCTGTGCTCATAATATTTCTTGTGTTTATTGAACATCCAGCACCGGCTGTTAAAAGGAGGAAAGAGGAAGAGATGGTGGAAGAGGAGTTTTTGGAGATGCCTGAGAATGTGGAGAACCCCTTACGCTGTCCTGTCAGACTCTACGAGTTCTATCTCTCGAAATGGTCAGTGTGGATACAATTTATTCACCATCATGTCGTTCCAACCCTGTACAACGTCTTCCATGACAATGCGTTCAGCAAAAGTAGATGACGATTTTTACTGCCAAATCTTATTGTTGGTTAAAACTATTAAGGGATAATTCACCCAAAAATTAAACTTTTGTCATCATTTACTCAACCTCATGTTGTTCCAAACCTGCATGAGTTTCTTTTTTTTCTGCTGAACACAAAAGAAGATATTTTGAAGAATATGGGTAACCAAACAGTTGGGCCCCATTGACTTCCATTTTATGGAAAAAAAAATACTATGGAACTCAATGGGGCCCAACTGTTTGTAATAGTTGTAATTAAAATAGTTAATTGAAATAAAATAAAACGGATATTATATGACAAACTTAAACTTGAAGTACTAAAATTACTACAACTAAAACTGAAATAAAAAATTAAAGCTAATAGAAATATAAAAAGCATATAGAATGAACTAAAATTAAAATGTAAACTAAAATAAAAATATCACAATAAAAGCTAATTCAAAATATTAGTAAACATATAAAAAAAAAAACTAAAATAACACTGCTGCTGAAGCTTTCTAATTACATATGCTGAATATGGCTCAGGTTGGACTCCATGACATCTCATACCTGCCAACATGTACGCATTTTGCGTAGCGGGCACGCATTTTGACCTTAAAGTACGCTGGTACGATTTGTCACTCTAAACTACGCAAAAACCTGGTGACGCCTCTTTGCACGCACAGTCCTCAAATCAAGCAATAGCAAAAGAAGAAGAGTTCGACCAATCATAGCGCTGGGTTCATTCCCCACATTGCAAGCGGAGATGATTGACAGATGCGTAAGTCCTATAATTAAAAAGACACTGAAAATCGACACCAATAAAGAATCCACGCTCCACTCGCACCCGCCCGCCGTCTGACTGATTTAAGCGAGGACAGTCGGCCTACAGTCACGGTACTTCTGACTCCTGAAGGTAAACGGACTGGGGTGGATGTGGAAAGTTGAAATATTGTATTTGAGTTCATTTTAAAATGGATTGGTTATCACACGGGACGGGAGTGATCGCATGGATTATTTAAAAAAAATACTCCGTAATTCATTCATGGTAACTCAGATAAGAGAAAGACATTCAGCCATGCAAATTATTAAAATGCTCAAGTAATGTTGAACAATAAATCTAAATAAAATTGAAATCGCTATGTCTTAGTGATTATGAAAGTGCTGTGATGTGTGGATGACTGAATCCGGAGAAACAGGCATTTATTTTTTCATTATCAGTGTTGAGAAACGTATCGCATGTGTTATGTGTCGTTATGTATTATGTTAATTAAAGTACCGAATTATGTTACATATTTATTTTGAATGAAAACTAGCGAGTTAGTTGGCGAATTTATGGATTAAAAATGACCGTTGTATGATAGCCTATCATGTATCAGTGCTGCACGAGCTCTCTCACAAACACAGACTCGCGCACACAGAGAGAGAAGATATTTATACAATAAAAATTGACAGGCAAAGTTCTTTTATGTCAAAATGTCAAAGCTTTTTCCATTCGTGTTTTACTTTTTAAAAAGTAATTTTTACATTCGTTTCGCTTTACTGTTAACAGCCCTCATGTCGGATTCGTCTTATTCGAACACTTATATTATTGGTCATGTGACAGGACTCCTGTCTATTCAATGTTAACTGTTATCTATAAATATGTTTGGAGTGGCTAAAGTTTATTCAGCTAATGTGTGTCCTGTTTGTAGCCTAATGTTCAAATGCAAAAACAGCACGTCACAAATATAAGCCCTTTTCCCTGTGGGATTTAATATCATATTTGTATATTGGAATAATAAATTAAGTAGCCAATTTAAAATGAATAACATGTAGGCTACACACCGTTTTTTAATTTTTTTTATTACTTTTTTTTTTATTACTGTTATCTAGGGGTTTCTTAATTTTAGACTAATTGACCAGCACAGATTATATGGAATACAATATCAATCATGAATAAAGAAATAGTGTTGAGTAGGATTGAAACTTTGGACTTTCACTGTTACATTGCAGTGCAAGTTAAATTTTGTATTTGTCTCAAATTAAAAAACCTTTAGAATTATGAAGATAGGCATGTGTCTGTGTGTGTCTTGCATTCTCAAAATAAGGACAAAAATATATGACGGGTTGGGGGGGTACTCATAAAATTTCTTCTAGGTTGGCAGGTATGACATCTGGTTACAAGAAATCAAGGCGTTTAACACTAAATTAGCATGCATTTTAATCTAATAAAGGTTTTGTATGGCATCAGAAGGAATATAATGGCAAATAATAATGACTTTTAATAATAAAATGGACTACTTATAATGCTTTTTTTTTCATTTTTTGTTGCATGTAAAAGAGCAGTTTGGATTTTCACATCTCATTTTGTGTTTCACAGAATGAAAATGACACGCTTTTGAAAATTTTTCAGTGAACTATAATGTGTTATATTACTCTCTACAATCTTTTGAATTACAATTATGCAGATTCTTGAATGAAGCAGCTTGAGTTCTGCACACAAAATGAGCTTCATTCAAATTGTTTGGTCTTTTTCTGGTGCTTTTATTAAAGAGATATCCTTTGTAATGTTCATTCTATTTTATATCCACAGCTCAAACTCCGTGAAGCAGCGTCCAGATCTTTTCTACCTGCAGCCCGAGGAGTCCTGCCACCCCAGCAGCCCTGTGTGGTACTCAGCCCAGCCATTGGATAGCACCATGATGGAGAGCATGCTCACACGAATCCTAGCTATACGGGACATTCATCTGGACTCTAAGCATCAGCAAAAGTACCTGGACTCGTCAGATGAAGAGAGCTCTTAATTAGAACCTACAAACTTTGAGACCTTGCTTTGAAAAATAACTAAAGAAAAACCCATCATGATGACCAACTTTTAATGACATCTACGTATTACTTTTATTCAGATGGGAATGGGATGAAAACAGAAATGAAATTGTGCACAAGCTCAACAGACATTCCTTAAGTCATCTGTTCTATCATGAATGTTATAGACCTTTAAAATGAAATTGGGAGGGAATTGTTTGGTTTTTAGTCACAGTAGATATTGTTTCTCAGTATTTAGTATTATTTAGTGAAAGTTTTTTAAGTTTAAACATTCATTATGTCATTGTTAGTAACCTTTGAAAATATATGAATTCTCAGATGAATGGCTGGCTTACTTCTGGTAAGATTTGTAAGGGTTTCCGTTGATCTGAACATGTTTTCTGGACAATTGCTACTTTGTACACTTATTGACATGTAAAGGAACATTCACTCTGAAAATGTTCACAACCAGAAGTCATTTGTTTTCATTGAGAATTGGTGAATTGAGCAACTCTTGGCGATGCTACAGATTTACGGGACCACTCAGATACGTGACAGTAAAGCTATAAATCTCATTCCGATGGCATTTTAATGGACAGAAATTCATATATTCCCATGTGTGCAAGATGCAAAAAAATACCATTTTGAATGTGTGTATCTGCTAAAAATTCATTTTCTCTAGACCACAGACGTACTGGTACAGACGGCCTCGAAGCTAATAGATGTACTAAAAGCTCCAATTCTGATCTCAGTTGGTCTTTAAGAAATAGATATTTTAGATGTCTCGCTTCTAGAAAAGATGTTAAAGCAACAATGAGTGCGATGCATTCATGGAGTCAAAGTGTCGTGTGTCAGTCAATAGAGGGCAGTCCTGCTTTGTTAGTTCAAGTGACAGGACCTTAACATGGCAACAATGGGAATCAAATAAGCAATGTTTAGCCACATGATTATGCTGATATTTGCACAGATAGATGCAGCGCCAGCCTACGATGTAAAGCCAATTGTCATTCGCTACCATGGTAACAGAGACAAGAGCTGTTGCATGTGCTTCGCACTAGATTCTGAATGTGCTGCTGCTTTTGAAATCGTGCAACACATATGAAAAGCACTTATATACATGCGTCAGCCTTCAGTAATGGAATTATTGTTAACCAGAACGTCCCACATCAGGACCTTTAATTTAACCTGCACTGACTTTAAGCATTGCTGCCGGGTTAATGTAAGGGGAACAATATATAAGTGAGGCAGCTAAACTATATACAGTTGTAAAAGGGCAAGTGCTGCTTGTCTGATCACTACATCTACCAATTGTTCGTACATGTACAATTGGGTATGGCGGACAAAAAGATGCATCTCAGGGACAGATCACGTTTATATTGCCTGTTCAAAAAGAGTGTGTGGGCGTGCTCCGGGCAGATGAGGTGTGATTCAAGAGGGTTCGAGAATGAGAGAGTGTGTGGGAGAGAGAAGTACAACAAAGACAGACAATCTGGCAGTGTATGACTGAATCGCCATTTGAAAAATTCAAAAACAATGTCAAACTTTGATTTTTTAAAACCCATGCTATTGGTGTAATGTGCTAAATGTTTCATTTAGATGAGGTTTTTATTTACACAAATAAGACAAGGATACTGGCAAATGCAGATAAGGTCTGATGAAAATCTAAGCCATCTTATTAGAGGTCAAACCAAATTGAGATAAAAGTGACTGAAAGGAAATGAAATGAGCGAGGCAAAAAAAGTCCTAAGCTCTTGATAAGTGCTAAAGCCCTGAAGCTGCCTCAAAACTCAGGGGAGGGAGCTGAGAGAGTGATAGTGAGGCAGTAAGAGAGAGGAGGGAGAGAGAGAGAGAGAGAGAGAAAGAGCTGCCGTTGGTGTTGATATAAGAGGCTATTTATCAAACCAACTGTGTTTCTGTGTGACGAAGGACAAGACTCTGAGAACTGCAAGATAATGCTGGAATACAGACTGGATTCCTGGACACTTCACACCTGGATCACCGGCGCACAAGGAACTTGGACTGTCCATCTGTCATCCTGCGATGCTATGATTGCTAGTTACGTCAGTGATTAACTACATGAAGAGAGGCAATGCAAAGAGACCATGGAGAAGTGTTATGTCACATTTGAATGAGGAAAAGAAGTGAGTTTTTGCTCTAATACTGCATTTTTGAAGTGTAAAGATGCTGCCTCGGGAGATTGGGAGCTCTAAATCTGGAACAGAACTGCTTATATCTGACTAAACCAAGGGGATAGACAGACATACAGCTTTTTTGTCCGTTTATAAATGAAAAGCTACGCTTTACATGGTACAGCGTACTGTCTCACAAAGTTGCTTCCTTCCCACTTTATGTTGCTGTCAAGCTATACATTTAAGGGAAGTATGCTTTATTTTTTATATTTCCAGTGGAGGTACTGAAGCCATTTCTTGACTAACCACTTACCATCACCTGAAGACTAGTAAGTTTTTATTTTCAGTTTTTTACCACCACCTGAAGACTAGTAAGTTTTTATTTTCACTAAATGAAAAATGTCTGTCTCCTATCATTTCTAAGAAGACTTGGTACACATGCTCTGGCAGCATCATACAATAGACTTCTGGAGGATTGTATTGGAGGTTGTGTAGAAGGCCATCGTCAAGAAGTGACACAATGGGGAAGCCATTAAGTCGTCCAGGCTGCTTACGGCAGAGCCCTTGTTGTTCAAAAAAAGTTGATGACAGGGAGGGCTACAATGAAGATGGATACATACCTCAACGCTCCATTTATGACACAATGTGCATCAATGAACAGATTGACCACGGTTCGGCACACAGCACTCTGGGTTCGAGAAGGGGCCGAGAAACTGACTTCTCCAGTAATGGTTCCCTGGGAGCAGGTGGAGACATGTTTGACACAAAGTCTTCTGTGCTAGTCAGCAGTGGCAAAAAACTGGACGAGAGGTTCATATTTGATTCTCTGAAATTAGCAAATGATGAACTAAGCAAGTCACCAAGAGGGTTTGTGAGGTCGGCATCCCCCAGCGTATCCTGCAGTTCGGCTCCAAGCGGATCCATGAACAAGCGGCATCATCACCAGGAAAGTGGCAAGAAGGACAACCTCTGCCGTCACTCCTGGAAGGTTCTGTCTCCGCCAAAGTTCCCAGAAACCTTTGAACTCTCCCCAGGTGAAAAGACCTACTTAAACCCAGGAGTTGCCTTCTTTCCAAACAGCATCACCTCCCCACAAATTTCACCCTTCTCTGGATCCCCTTTCTCCACTGGTACGCATACACCTTCTGTGTTCTTCTCTCCCTCCCCCTTGCCCTATCAGCAGTTCAACAGGCAATCTTTACCTACCCAACCGTTTTCACCAAGACCACCTCTGTCAGAGTTATCAGTCAGTGCCCTAATGTGTGGCCAAGAAGACAAAGACAAACTAGAGATTGGCCAAGGTATGAGGGATGATGAGTGCATGGCAAAAGACAATCTGTTTCTGACTTTTAAACCCCAGAACATTGAACCTGAAAAAGAACCGCTGCTGGCCACCCCAGAACCTGAAACTGACACAACGCCCCTTCTGCGCTCTCAGACATCAAAAAGACCTGCCTTCTCACCCACTCCAATGGAGTCCACCTGGCCCCGGCGACTGATTGGAAGGAGAAGGACTGTAAGACAAGGTGGTGCAGTTCACAACCTCCCAATTCTTCCCCCACTACCCTCTCTGCTAATGCGGAGTGTCTCAGATAAAAAGACCATTCCACGTCTTTCACCGTTCCCCGAGCACCAGGGAAATGTGGATGGACATCTTGACAAGTCTACATTGACAAGAGATTTGAAGGATTGCTCACTTCAAGAATGGAAGATCTTGCGAGAACAAGAGGAGCGTAAAGCTGAAGCATCCAAAAATGAGAGTGTGATTGAGGAATCTTTAGAAGAAGAGAGAAAAATGGTGCTCATAGAGGAGAGCACTGAGCAAGGCATTGATGAAAATACCACTCCCGAATGTGTGGAAGAAAACTGGGAGGCTGTGTTGGAGATGGTTAATTCACTTTGGGATGAGACATGGAATGAAGATTTGCAAAATGTTGGCTCTCTAAGGCGCTGGCCTCTTTTACATCCTCCATCGGGGTTTGGTGGCTCACAAGCTCCATCTGGTACAAGCTCAGAACTGGGTGCTGAAGATATGTTGGAGATTGAGAAAATGAACCAAGAGGTTGTGGAAAGCCAAGATGATGACGAACCAATATTTCAGTACAATTTGCAAACACGTCAAGGTAAAAGTAATGTTATTGTTATTCAGCCAGGGGGCCATAAAATTGTTCATGCAAAGATCCCAACCAGTTTAGATCTTGCCACCATTGACGCCCAAATGGGTAACAAATACAACCATAGCGAATCGCCAGATTCCCACCTGACACTAGACTCGGATTCAAGTGGTATCTACATGTCAAATCTCAGCCAAACGAGTAGAGAGGACATCACTTCTGATAATGACAGACCTATGTCAGATCTTGGAAGTATTACTTCGCTTATTCAAGAGGAAGAGGGTAAGGACAATGTCCGAATTACTGGAGCATACTCGTCAATTCCAAAAGCAAATAAATTGGCAACTTTCAGCAAAAAAGATCCTTCTGGGCTGAGAGCTAATAGCGTAGAGCTAGGAAGGCAAGCATTTTGTAAAGAGATTACAAACAAAGCTACAGAAATACAAGCACGCTTGAAACCTGTTGACAAAGGATCTCTAACCCAAGAGATTCATAACACTGTGAACACATCGACTGATTTACCTTTGCCACTTTCCCCATCCAAACACGAGGCTAAAGAAACTTTATTAGTCAAGAGCGACACTGATCCATTTGTTGCCACAGATAGTTTTGTCTACCTGGCAGTATCAGTGCTGCCCCCACCCCAGGAAAGCGTGACCAAACCTGCACTGGAGGAGCCATTGCCCCCTACTTCCTTTGCCAAACCTTGCCCTTACCCTGATGAATGTGACTTCCTCTCGACAGATAGTTTTGTTTACCTGGCTGCTCCTGACTGCCACCTGCTGGTTACAGAGGGACATTCAGTATATGGTGACTCAAAAGATTCTGAATCAGAGGACAGCGGTTCTAGGGCAGACTTTGTTATGGCCTCTGCGGTAGGAGGAGATAGCGATTGGGACTCAGACCTGACTGATTCTGAACCAGAGCCAAACTCTTCCAAGCCTGCGTGGGACTACTGGGAGGAGCTAGAGCAGGGGGTGCTGCAGGAACTATTCAGCGATGACCAATCAGATGCAGACAAACTGCTCTATGGCAACCAAGCTCAGCAGATTTTCTGCCAGCGTGGGGAGTTGGCTGCTATTGTTGTACAGGAGCTGGAAGAGGTGTCCTCACAGTACACACAGGGGGCAGAGGCACACACTGAGGTGAAATCTGTATCCTAACTCTCATTACTGCACTGGCAAACCTATTGTATTAGAGCCCATTTAATAATTCTAATGCTAAACATCATAAACAGGTATTTTTGTTTTTGTTTTCCTCTATTTCTCCTTATTTAATAATGTATATATTATTTCAAAGTTGTGATGCCAACATCTACCAGTATTCACAATAAAATGTGGATGTGTTCTTGATAGCAATTTTGTTGAAGCACAGTTTAAGTCTCTCTTTTAAGTTGCATTTCTGTTTTAAAGTTTGTGTCATGGTGGACAGCTTTATGGGTTTATTGATTTGTTATTGAATTCAATGTTATGTTGACCATTAAGTATTTGTGAACTGATAGATTTGGCTATTAATAGGTGATCGTGGATGCAATGTGAGAGATCAACATAGGAGCTTCAAATCTATTGCAGACTAATGTTAGATCAATAATAGATACACTAAATGCTGTGTGCTCTGTATAACAATAATTAATGTTATATGTTACCGGGATCATTTTAAAAAACTGACTGTGAAAGTCCTGAAGGGCAAATAGGCTGATGTAGACATTTTGACCTTGTCAATAAAGGAGCACAGTTTATAGCACAAATAATGCTTAATATGCAGTAAAATGTGTGTACTTAGCTCAGTTTATAAAGTTTAAATTCAGCAGGGAGAGTTGTTCCACTTTTTAACGCATTGCAAAGGAAATGCATTCTGGTTGTCAATAAATGAAATGTGAAGGATCTAAGTCTTCATTTCTTCATTTAATTTCTTTTCATTCTTAGCTGTTTACTTAGCATGCTGTTGGATAGCCCCCGCCCCCCAGCATTCCTTTCAATTACACCATCTGTCTCATGGCCTATATATATATGATTTCTCATGTGAATTGTTTGGGATCAGAGTGAAGGAGCCTGAAATTCTGGTGGTTTTGTAGAGGCCAAAGGGGCTATTTTTAGTTAAATTAATTAGTTCAGTGTGAATGAGGCCAAACTGAATGCATTGTGTGCCAAGATAATACATAAGTGGGTCGTGTGCATGAGATTTTGCTGCCGCCCATCGTTGTTCCTCAGTAACCTACATTATGCTTGTTTTGCTCCATCTGTTATGCATACAATGCATCAACAGTGTCACTGTTGTATCTGGGTCCAACCTGAATCTTTTGGCTTTGACCGAATATCCTGTAGCCATACATGACATGCATTCCCATCACTGTGATGTCTCTATTATAGGTCTCATTATAAAATGGTTTTATGATCTTTTAGTAAGGTCAGGCAAAATCATAATTTAAGAAAAGTCTCCCACTCTCTCTTTCAGGTCAGGTCAGGTCAAAGTTAGGCAGAATGTGGAATAGCATGGTTTCAAACTACTCGTACTACTACAGTCGTGGCCTAATTGTTAGCGAGTCTGACTGGTAGCCCAAAGGTTGCTCGTTCGATTTCAGTACCGACTGAGGTGCCCTTGAGCAAGGCACCAAACCCCTAATCGCTCCCTGGGTGCCACAGTATAATGGCTGCCCACTGCTCCGGGTGTGTATCACGGTTTGCAGTGTGTGCATGTGTGTGTTCACTAACTTGGATGGGTTAAATGCAGAGGACAAATTCCGAGTATGGGTTGGCCTTCACATGTCACTTTCACTTACTCTTAATGACTATTTATTTATTTATAACTATTTCTGCTTGTATCTTTATATGATTGGATACAGGAAAGGGGAAATCATCAGTTACACAACAACAAAATGGGCAAGAACAGAAAAGTTGGTGTAAGCTGCTTGTAAACTTGTATAAGCTTCTTCATGTTGTTTGAATCCATGTGAAAGATTTGGGGGTAAACTGAAGAAATCTCGGAAATAAAGTGTGCTTTCACCATGGTCAAGGGACCAAATTTTATATTGTTTATATGATATATATATATATATATATATACACTCACCGGCCACTTTATTAGGTACACCTGTCCAACTGCTCGTTAACACTTAATTTCTAAGCAGCCAATCACATGGCGGCAACTCAGTGCATTTAGGCATGTAGACATGGTCAAGACAATCTCCTGCAGTTCAAACCGAGCATCAGTATGGGGAAGAAAGTTGATTTGAGTGACTTTGAACGTGGCATGATTGTTGGTGCCAGAAGGGCTGGTCTGAGTATTTCAGAAACTGCTAATCTACTGGGATTTTCACGCACAACCATCTCTAGGGTTTACAGAGAATGGTCCGAAAAAGAAAAAACATCCAGTGAGCGGCAGTTCTGTGGGCGGAAATGCCTTGTTGATGCCAGAGGTCAGAGGAGAATGGCCAGACTGGTTCGAGCTGATAGAAGGGCAACAGTGACTGAAATAACCACTTGTTACAACCGAGGTATGCAGCAAAGCATTTGTGAAGCCACAACACGCACAACCTTGAGGCGGATGGGCTACAACAGCAGAAGACTCCACCGGGTACCACTCATCTCCACTACAAATAGGAAAAAGAGGCTACAATTTGCAAGAGCTCACCAAAATTGAACAGTTGAAGACTGGAAAAATGTTGCCTGGTCTGATGAGTCTCGATTTCTGTTGAGACATTCAGATGTTAGAGTCAGAATTTGGCGTAAACAGAATGAGAACATGGAACCATCATGCCTTGTTACCACTGTGCAGGCTGGTGGTGGTGGTGTAATGGTGTGGGGGATGTTTTCCTGGCACACTTTAGGCCCCTTAGTGCCAATTGGGCATCGTTTAAATGCCACGGCCTACCTGAGCATTGTTTCTGACCATGTCCATCCCTTTATGGCCACCATGTACCCATCCTCTGATGGCTACTTCCACCATGTCACAAAGCTCTAATCATTTCAAATTGGTTTCTTGAACATGACAATGAGTTCACTGTACTAAAATGGCCTCCACAGTCACCAGATCTCAACCCAATAGAGCATCTTTGGGATGTGGTGGAACGGGAGATTCGCATCATGGATGTGCAGCCGACAAATCTGCGGCAACTGTGTGATGCCATCATGTCAATATGGACCAAACTCCCTGTGGAATGCTTCCAGCACCTTGTTGAATCTATGCCACGAAGAATTGAGGCAGTTCTGAAGGCAAAAGGGGGTCCAACCCGTTACTAGCATGGGGTACCTAATAAAGTGGCCGGTGAGTGTATATATATATAATAAAATGTATTCACTTCAACTCAAAGGCTTGGGGTCGGTAATATTTTTTTTTTTTTTTTTTGGTGCGCATAAGAAGTCTCTTATGCACACCAAAGCTGCATTTATTTGATTAAAAATATAGTAAAAAAGAAATTGTGAAATATTTTTACATAATTATTATTTAAAATAAGTTTTCTATTTTAACATATTTAAAAATGTAATTTATTAGACGTTTTGATGAATGCAAAGTTCAAAAGAACAACAATCATTTGAGATAAAAATGTACTGTCACTTTTGATTAATTTAATGCATCTTTGCTAAAAATGGCTGTAAAGTATATATATATATATATATATATATATACAGTATATACTATATATATATATATATATATATACATCCATACAGTATAGCTGAACATGTAAAAGTATGTGGTGGTATTTCTAAAAGTGTGTGTGCTCGTGTGTGTGTGTGGGGGGGGATGGATTGTTTGCTGTGTGCATTTGAGTCGAAGCCAGGGCACATGTGTAGGAGGAGCAGCACAGAGTGAGTGAATCATACATTAGGACATTTGCTGTATTCTTTCTGGTCAATGTACCAAAGATTGAAAGATTATCTGCAGGTTAGCAACATGCAATGCTTAGAAATTTTTCAAGTCGGATAAAATGCTTAGGATGAAAGAATCGCGTTTTTTTCTCTCACATTATCATTGAAACATATTCAAATAAAGACCTACTAAATCTTTTTTTTTTTTTTGCCCTCGGTGTGCAGTGTTATACATTTGTGTGTGGTGTGTGAGTGAGATAGAAAAGGTAGGAGGCATGTAATCATTGGTTGCTGAAGGCAAAAGATCAAGAGTTGCTTCTTATGTAACATGTAAATGAAAGTGCACTGGGCACCATGTGCTAAAAGATTTTATTTTTAAATGCATTCTAGGTACAAAAAGCAGTGTAGGCTGACTGAAATTTGGACAGAAAAGATCCAGAGAGCGTCAGATGAATTAAACGGAGAGTTTGAAATGCTGTTAAGATATTTGATGTGATATATATATTTGGCATTAATGTAAGTCATTTTAATGGAATAGTAAACCAAAAACTGTAATTCTGCCTTAATTTACTCAAAGTATGACGTTCTTGATTCTGTGGAACACAAAAGGAGTAGTTCATATTAGAGCTGCTGTTGATGGAAGTGGGCCAAAAAAACCCCCACATTAATAGTGGCCTTCACGACTCATTCACTCTGTTCCAAGTCTTTTTAAGCCATATAATAGATTTGTGTGAGGGAAAAAAAAAGGCACCATTCACTTTCTCAATGGCAAAGAGCAGCTTGGACATTCTGATATAGTTATCTCCTTTTGTGTTCAATGGAAAATGAAAGTCATAATTTAATAAAAAATAAAAAAAGTCATAATTCCGAAACATAAGGGTGAGTAATAGTGATGACATATCTTATTTTTGGGTGAACTATCCTGTTGATATAACAATAACCTTTCACGTCCACGGTCAATTTCAGAAAACCAATGAAACCAAGGCAATGTTTGCACCTAAATGAGATTTTATTGATATTGTACACTGAACACGCACATTCGATACCATATTTGCATAGAGCTGACGTTGATTGTGAAATATTTAGAGCCAAGCTAACCTCGCCCAGCTTATTTCCCTATTTTTAAATACATTGTGCTTTTAAAGTTCATTCTAAAGTGGAATTAAATTCTAACAAAAATACATAAATTTTTATAAATACATCAAATATATGGTGAAAATCCTGACTTCTATCTATCTATCTATCTATCTATCTATCTATCTATCTATCTATCTATCTATCTATCTATCTATCTATCTATCTATCTATCTATCTATCTATCTATCTATCTATCTATCTATCTATCTCAATGAGGTTGTAAAGGTTTTTCAACATACCGCTGTCATTAAAGAGCAGTCTTGACTATTTTAGTGTCCTTTAATTTTTGTGAACCCAAGTTTTGGCTGCTGGAGAGAGTGGGATCCGGTCTTTTAGATAGTTGCGGTGGTGACTGTGACATCATACAGTATTTTAGTATACGCTTTCCAATGAGATAAGTCATTTCGCAGATACACATGAAGATGCAGAGAACAGAGGCCGCCACCATGAAGAGGGTGAAGATTTTCTTCTCTGTAGGGCGTGAGATGAAACAATCCACCGTATTGGGACAAGGGTCCAGCGAGCACTTGGTGATGCGGGGGAGGTCAAAGCCTTTATAGATGTGATGAAGAATATAGAGAAAGGCAGCATCAAACACAGCTTTAAAGATCAAGCTAAGCAGGTAGGTCCACCAAAGACCCCCGCGTTTTTTTCCAGGGTTGGCGTATAAGTGGTTGCCCTGGTGAACAGCAATGTAATTCTGGTCTTTTTCCTCTCTGTATTTGACGTGGGCTACGACCAAGAGCGACGGACATGTGACAAAGATGATCTGTAAGGCCCACAGACGGATGTGAGAGATGGGGAACGTGCTGTCGTAGCAGACGGTGGTGCAGCCGGGCTGCCTGGTGTTGCACACGAAGTTCTCGTCGCCCCAAACGCGCTGAGCCGCCACCACAAACACCAGTACACGGAACACAAACACCACGGACAGCCACACTCGACCAAAAACTGTCGAATATTTATTGACCCCGCTAAGAAGGGACTCCAGTCCTGACCAGTTCATCCCTGATCACAAACACTGTCCTGCAATAAACACAGTTATACATGATTAATCATAACACTCAAAAGAGACACTTTTGCATAATTTAGGGCATTTTAGTTTGGGTCAATGAATCTCTTGACAACTGGTGTCATGAATGTATGGTCTAAATTTAACCAAACACTTAATGGGTTTTTTTTTTTTTTGGTCATTTTTTGTGTTGCTGATTATCTTTTTAATTAGTCAGTGGAGATTTGGTCTTCGATTAATATTTAAACTCCAGAGGCATTTAGTCACACATAACAGGTTCTTCAGATTGTTTCTAAAAATCTAATCAGAAAGTTTGCAAAAACTGATTCTGTTCAAAGCACTTTAAAGGGAAGTTATGACAGGTAACATTAATTTTTTTTATATATAATAAGTTTTTTTTGTCACAAAGATGACACATTTCAATATAACAAGCCAGAGTTTACATGTTTTACCAAACAGGTTTTCACTTGCTCATTATAAATTATTGCTGTTTTGATTTTGCTGGCAGAAATGTGAATTTGTCATGCTGCTGGATCATACCAGGGTTTGATGTCTCATAGCTGCTCCCACGTGTTTTTAGCATTTTTGTAATAAATTGTATGCGTTTCTGTATATATATATATATATATATACACTCACCGGCCACTTTATTAGGTACCCCATGCTAGTAACGGGTTGGACCCCCTTTTGCCTTCAGAACTGCCTCAATTCTTCGTGGCATAGATTCAACAAGGTGCTGGAAGCATTCCTCAGGGAGTTTGGTCCATATTGACATGATGGCATCACACAGTTGCCGCAGATTTGTCGGCTGCACATCCATGATGCGAATCTCCCGTTCCACCACATCCCAAAGATGCTCTATTGGGTTGAGATCTGGTGACTGTGGAGGCCATTTTAGTACAGTGAACTCATTGTCATGTTCAAGAAACCAATTTGAAATGATTAGAGCTTTGTGACATGGTGGAAGTAGCCATCAGAGGATGGGTACATGGTGGCCATAAAGGGATGGACATGGTCAGAAACAATGCTCAGGTAGGCCGTGGCATTTAAACGATGCCCAATTGGCACTAAGGGGCCTAAAGTGTGCCAGGAAAACATCCCCCACACCATTACACCACCACCACCACCAGCCTGCACAGTGGTAACAAGGCATGATGGCTCCATGTTCTCATTCTGTTTACGCCAAATTCTGACTCTAACATCTGAATGTCTCAACAGAAATCGAGACTCATCAGACCAGGCAACATTTTTCCAGTCTTCAACTGTTCAATTTTGGTGAGCTCTTGCAAATTGTAGCCTCTTTTTCCTATTTGTAGTGGAGATGAGTGGTACCCGGTGGAGTCTTCTGCTGTTGTAGCCCATCCGCCTCAAGGTTGTGCGTGTTGTGGCTTCACAAATGCTTTGCTGCATACCTCGGTTGTAACGAGTGGTTATTTCAGTCACTGTTGCCCTTCTATCAGCTCGAACCAGTCTGGCCATTCTCCTCTGACCTCTGGCATCAACAAGGCATTTCCGCCCACAGAACTGCCGCTCACTGGATGTTTTTTCTTTTTCGGACCATTCTCTGTAAACCCTAGAGATGGTTGTGCGTGAAAATCCCAGTAGATTAGCAGTTTCTGAAATACTCAGACCAGCCCTTCTGGCACCAACAATCATGCCACGTTCAAAGTCACTCAAATCAACTTTCTTCCCCATACTGATGCTCGGTTTGAACTGCAGGAGATTGTCTTGACCATGTCTACATGCCTAAATGCACTGAGTTGCCGCCATGTGATTGGCTGCTTAGAAATTAAGTGTTAACGAGCAGTTGGACAGGTGTACCTAATAAAGTGGCCGGTGAGTGTATATATATATATATACTATATACACACACACTTACCAGCCACTTTAGGTACACCTGTTCAACTGCTTGTTAGCACAAATATCTAACCAGCCAATCACATGACAGCAACTCAATGCATTTAGGCATGTAGACATGGTCAAGACAATCTGACCATCAGAATGCAGAAGAAAGGTGATTTAAGTGACTTTGAACATGGCATGGTTGTTGGTGCCAGACAGGCTGGTCTGAATATTTCAGAAAATTCACACACAACCATCTCTAGGGTTTACAGAGAATGGTCCGAAAAAAAGAAAATATCCAGTAAGTGGCAGTTCTGTGGGCGAAAATGCCTTGCTGATGCCAGAGATCAGAGGAGAATGGCCAGACTAAACGAGATAAACAACAGTAACTCAAATAATAGTTATTTATAATATAAGAAGACTTTTATGCTCACCAAGGCTGCATTGTAATATATATTTAAAATGTAATTTATTCCTGTGATGGAAAAGCTGAATTTTAAGCATCATTTCTTCAGTCTTCAGTGTCACATGATCCTTCAGAACTCATTCTAATATGCTTAATATTTTTGTGGAATACTTTGAGGAATATATAAATAGTAGGGCCTAAAATTAACACTCGGCAAGCACCAAATGCAAGTATTTTAAACGGTGTCAATCGCCAGTTGACCAGTAACGTTTATGAATTCTAACAATGCAATGTTGTGAGAACTTGAACGTGAACAAACGATCATTTTTACCAGGGGTGCCAATAATTCTGACCACAACTACACACACACACACACACACACACACACACACACACACACACACATATAAATGTGTGTGTATATGTGTGTGTGTGTGTATATATATTTACGCAATAATACAATGAATTACTAAATAATGTATCAATTTAATTTGTGATTCTAACCCGAAACAATGGTATTTTCTTTTTAATTGAATAAATAAGCTTTACATTGATGCACTGTTTGTTAGGATAGGACAATATTTGACCAAGATACAGCTATTTGAATATCTTCTGAGGGTGCAAAAAAATCTAAACATTAAGAAAATCGCCTTTAAAATTGTCCATTTCGCGATTTTTCTGCATCCACTCACAAATATATATATATATATATATATATATATATATATATATATATATATATATATATATATATATATATATATATATATATATATATTCACATATTTACGGTAGGAAATTTACTAAATATCTTCATGGAACATGATCTCTACTTAATATCATAATGATTATTGGCATAAAAGAAAAATCTATAATTTTGACCCATACAATGTATTGTTGGCTATTATTGCCACAAATATACCCGTGCTACTTGTGACTGGTTTTGTGGTCAGGGTCACATATAAGCAAGCATAAAATAAGCTTGTGTATTTAATACAGCTTCTTACAATGTTGATACGGCCAATCTTTGTTTGTTATTACTTAGTAATAATGCATAAAAGAAGAACTTACCGTGTTTTACAGGAAAACGGATATGCATTGAAACAGGAACCGCAAAAAAAGGAGGAAAAGGTAAAACTAAAAGCCCTAAACAATGCTGTCCAACCTGATCTCGGGACTCGCCGCCATACCTGTATGTAATTGTTCACAGACGAGACACCTGTGGTGATGAAGCAGCTTCACCTGGAGGGTGTGGTGCTGCTGGGCTGTGGGTGGTGCTGGTGCATCATGGTATTATTCATTAGATATTATCTTACAGACTGTAATGCGAGTAGGCCTAGTGTCTGTATTTGCAACAAGCCTTGCTGCCTTGTCATGTGTCATCACTGCCACACCCAGCAAACAGCAAACATTATAAAATACAGTAAAACATACATGACATTTTTTACTAAGACCATTTTATTAATTTATATATTAATACTACAAAGCAGACTGCAGGGATATAATGTTATCGTTAGGGTTTTGAATTGAAAAAATAATTAATGCTATAACTCTTTTACACCAGGAGATGGTGACATAACCTCATCTTTTAAAATCTGTGCAACTTCCAAGCTGTATGGGCAGATTTTTCTCAACGTAAATATTGCATCTCCAAAGTTTCATCTAGATGTTTATTTGAATTATGTAGCCCATGTGACCATTAGATAGATCATAACATTATAAAGACCTGTGCACTATTAGTCTAATCAATAATCATTCTTCTATATGAATTCATGTTTATGTAATTGTTATATTTTATTGAAAGGTTATGTTAAATATGATATAATAAAATGGAAAGTACCTATATCATTTTACCTAACGATATTATGTTTGATAATACAAATATAATATTGTTAATACTGATAATAATAAAAATAATAACAAACAATGATAACTAACAACCATTAAAATACAGGCCATGTCGTCATGAGAAAAATCAACGTGATTATCCGTTAGCGGATAAAAATGTAACATCTATAACATTTGAGTGTAAAGGTCATGGTAAAGGTCTGGTTATTGCCCATGTGACTGCGGCCAGCCAATCAGCGGTCATCTGTGCTGACCGGAATTGTCGCCTGGTTACGGGAGCTCTACGGTAGAGGAGAGCTAGCCGGCTAGCAGCGTCTCTCAATCCGCTTTTTTTGTCACGGTGTTCATATACCGTCAGCTCTCTGTAAGTATCTATATAATGTCGTATTTATATTTTCCTGTTGTTTATAAACATCTAGATGAATGATGAATTATTAACTTGTGCGTGTATGTATTTATACATATAACGTTACGCATTTAGCAGCTAAAACACATATGCTAGCAGAACAAGACCGAACTAATCTCGTAAAAAAACATTTGGTTATTTTTTGAAGAATGTTTACCATTGTAATGTATTTATATTATGTTTCTTATTGTATAAATATGTAATATTATTTAGTAAGCAAGGCTGTTCATTGATGTTAACGACTTCTGTTTTTATGAAACCATAGCCTATCATGTTCACACACACAATGATGTAGTGGGTGTTAAGGGCATGGTGTTCTTGTATAAATTAACAAAATAATTATCTTATTTTGAATTAAATGGTTGTTTAATTTGTCTTCAACAAAATGTGTGGTCAGCAAATGTGGAAACCCATTGTGTTCCATGCACACATATTTCTTTGTCTTAAAGGGATAGTTCAACCAAAATTGCATTTTGTTTGTAATTTACTGTCCCTCGTGTCGTTCCAATCCAGTGTATGGCTTTATTTCTTCCGTGGAACACAACACAAAGGAGGATGTTTGACAGAACGACATCCTCAGTCACCATTCACTTTCATTGTGTACGGGAAAACATGCAAAGGAAGTCAATGATGACTGAGGCTGTCATTCAGCATAACATCTCGCTTTGTTTTCCACAGCAGAAAGAAAACTATATGGGTTTGGAAGAAGGTTGGTCAATGACAGATTTTTCCATTTTTGTGTGAATTATCTCTTTAAGAATGAGATAATGGTCAAAAATAGACTTGCGGAGTGGATGCGTTGAGTGAAATATGAATGTGTAGATTGGCTTCAGCATTTTTGCTCCTTTATATGTACCGTTTTAAGATTCATCTGATGGCGTATTACTATTTGAATGCAATCTCAAATGTTTGGTCTCTGTTAAAAGTTATAAAAGATAAGCTTTCATAACATAAACAAATAGACAAGCGCTAGCTGTTTTCCTTTTTCCATTCCTGACTGAGCTCATCCTGGAATGAAGAAAAGTCTTGTTTAGTGCTTGTTTTATGTTGATTATCTTTTCTAGGTGCAAAGTAGAGACAGTCACGAATGGTGAAGATAGAATGCTGAGTTCTCAACTTGTTTTCTGTTCACTTATTGAAAGTAAGTGCCTGATAGGAGATAATAATTATACCGATTGCTAAACATTTTCCATATATACCACTGTGTTAGGATGTGGTGCAAGGCCTGTATGCTTTTATGATGAGAGTTTATAATCCATCGAATGGCTAAAGTCAATATCAACTGCAGTGGAATGAGGTCTCTCTTCAGCTGTAGGCTACATCCAGTAACCATTTGGTGTTAATGGTGACATGTTTTGATTGACTGCACTTGCTGGTTGTGAATGTGATGTTTTAGGATTCACGGCCCTGGTTATTTATTGGTCACTGTCATGTTCTTATTCCAGGCTGCACATTTATGGCGTTTGTCAGTGTGAGTGGAGACTTCTGCCAGGCACAGCACCTGGTCATTGTGGACAAGTGAACAGAGGGCCTGCCATATGAAGATTATACTACCTGACTGCCCGTCTTACATTCTGCACTTTCGGGGAGCGTCCTTTTTTTTTGTCCAAAGTTGAAGTGTATGAATTGGTTCGAGCCAATCCAGGTACTAGAGAGCGAATCGTTTTCCCCTCTCTCTAGTGCCAACTGATCATCTCTCCTCTCCTGAATGGGGTAATTATAAATTGCGAATCGGAAGGATCGTCCCCTTCTTTAGTATTTATTTTAAAATCGTGGGAGCGTGAAAGTGGTTTCCTTCTCCTGTTCCCTTTTTTTAGAACATTCAGAGATTTGTCTAAAAGTCAAAGCGCTCAGATATTTTGAAATCATTACTTTTACCCCTGTAGAAGATTTGGAAGTTGTTGGGTTCTTCCCCCCTGTAAAGTACTATTAAAACTTCATTCGAGTGTCAAAATGAATCGCCCTGCTCCTGTTGAGATCACTTACGAATGCATGAGGTTTCTCATCACCCACAATCCCACCAATTCACAACTGACCAAGTTTACAGAGGTAAGTCTCTAGATGGTTGAGGTTAACAGGAATAGCAATATTAACATGAGTGGCAAAGCTGAATATTTCTTTTATTTGTCTCTGTCTATTAGGAACTGAAGAGCTTTGGAGTGCAGACGCTCGTCCGGGTTTGTGATGCAACTTATGACAAGGCACCAGTGGAAAAAGAAGGCATTGAAGTTTTGGTGAGATTTGCTATTAACCCCTAAAGTTTCTGACAGAATTTAGTGATTATTGCATATGTTTTATTTGCTTCTCTCCACTCTTATGATTGCACTTAAATTGAAATGTGTTTTTCTTTAGGATTGGCCTTTTGATGATGGTTGTTCGCCCCCTGATCAAATTGTTGATGACTGGTTGAACCTTCTCAAATGTAAATTCAAGGATGAACCAGGCTGTTGCATTGCAGTACATTGTGTTGCTGGATTGGGACGGTACGTATTATCAGGACAAATGTAAATCACATTCACAGATATGAAATGTTGCTCACTGATCTATTACACTGTCATTTTTTTAGTTATCTTGGACCAAATGTGCAGTAACACATTCTTTTGGAACATTTTGTGCTGTGATCTTCAACATTTATTTAGATCAGTTAGTGACCCGACTTGTGACTTATTTTAAATAGTTTTAAATGAGAACGCAGCATTTTTTTGTGTTCAGAGCTCCTGTCTTGGTGGCCATAGCCTTAATCGAATGCGGGATGATGTACGAAGATGCTGTCGAGTTTATTCGTCAGTGAGTCACAAACAAAGTTTCTTTTCTTTTTCTGTAGGATATGTTTTTGTTGGTCTTTTTATGACGTGGATGATCATTTTTCTTTTAGGAAAAGGCGTGGGGCTTTTAATGCCAAACAACTTATGTACCTTGAAAAATACAAACCCAAGATGCGCCTGCGCTTCAAGGATGCCAATGGTCAAAACTGCTGCGTTCAGTAGAGCAACATTCGTCCAAAGGATCTTTGGAAACTATTGACATTTTTATTGTTAGTGTTGTTATGATCAGTTTTTGTTTGATTATTATCTTAGACCAGGATTTTGCTGTATTACAGTGCCAAGCACACAAACAGGTTACACAGCATTAGTGTTGTTGTTTTTTTTTGACCAAACAGTCTAGCCAATCATGTAAACTCACAGGCAAAGCGGGGTATCGCTAGTGATGTTTTTCATTGTGGCAAACACATTGGTATAATGATTGACTGCAGTTGTTAGTGTTTTATGCCCTCTGTAGAACTAGGTGTCCACTGTTGTCTGGATTGTGTAACAATATCCTGCAGTACATGAAAAATTCACTTTGGTGAATATCTGTCAGCTTCTCCAAAGTTACATGGGCACAACTACTGTATCTAATGTTATAGACATTAAACATTCCAAGATATATTCACAGCACTGTTGGACACTAGATTGTGGTGGTCAGTAAAATGGACATGATGCAGATCCTAGATAATCCAATCAACAAAAGATTGAGATAAACTCTAAACTGATTGAAATGAGTCATTCAAATAATAACAATAAAAAAAACAAAGAATTTTATTTTTGTTGTCATGTGTTTTTCTTCTTCTCTTACACTAATTTGGCTATGCAGGTGGAAAATAAATATTTAAATGTGATACACAGTAGTATGTTCTAGTGTCAGATTGTAAAACTATAGATATCGTTTTTATCATGGTATTGAATTATTTCAATATTGATGTAGAATGTAAAACATTTTTAAAAATGCCATTGTGCTACATTAGGACGTTTAAAATGATAATATCATGGTAGGCTACTTTTATTTGTTTTTACATAAAGGATGTATCTTGTATTATATACACGTAATCGACTGAACTGCATTACTCTTTCCTCTTTAAAAGAAAAAGTGATGAACGGAATCCTTTTTTTTTAAGAATTATTTTTAAAGAATTTATTTTTTAATCGATACCAAACGCAGAGAATATTCGTGTAATTTCGAGCATGTGGACTTCTCTCTCAGGTGGTGTTTTCTTATCTTGACCACGAGTCGGTGCAATGCAGATTTAGTGAACAGACAGTCAAATGCATGTCTCGACTCTCGACCGGAATCTTACTATGGTGAGGGAATAGCTTATGAATATTAATTACTTTGCGTGGTTGGACGGTTTGGGAAGTTTTACCCGTCATCGTCACTATAGGACATTTAATATTCATGAGCTAAACCTTCAAATACCGGTAAGTAGAATTCGTAATTTCGTTGTCCGGACCGCTTAAGACCTATGGCAAGCCGGTTTAACATTATTCTTAAAAAAAAAATAAAAAAAAAATAGGCCTATATATATTTTCTTGTTAGCCTACTAATAATTATTTAATTTCTAGTATCACAGTAATGGTACTATAATTTGATCTGTGGTTCTAAGGCTGTGCGTCCACCAAAGCGTTTTTCCCCCGAGGCTAATGTATTTTTCCAATTGTTTTCAATGGGAGCATGAGCGAGCGTTGAGCGTCTATTTTTACCGGTCGCCGAGAGTTGAAGAATGTTCCACTTGAGGTAAGACGCAGAGCTCATCATCAGTGTCACTTTTTACCCAGCTGTCCAATCACAGTGGAGGAGGAGCGGGAAAAATACAACACTGACCAACTGTTAGATTATATCAACGTCAACAGATGACAACATGCAGAATAATATTTAAAACAAGAGCCAGTGCAAATCCTTGACATTGTATAGCTATTTTTATATAGAAACAATACAGAAACAAACTATCTGTGAAATTAGATGCTATAACACTTCCACGGATATTCTGTATCATCCGGGAAAAAAGCTGCGCTGTCGAAACGCTTTCAAGCGCCCACAGCTAGGTGTTTTCAGCAGAGCGCCTAGCGTTTCCAGCTGGCTAAAACGCTTTGGTGGACACACCACGACCTAACTGTTGACTTCTAACTGCATCCCAGTTGTTGCTGTAGATCTACCTGTTCCAGCCATTAGCTACTACTTATTCTTTAGTTAATAGTAGGTAACATTCAGATATTTAAATTTAGCCTACTAATCTATTGTTTCATAGTACGAAGTTTTCATTGACGAGATTTCGGACCATGCATATTCCATTATTATCATATAGCCATATACTAATCTAATGAATAGTTTGTAAATAGTACATAAATAAAATAAAAAAAAACAAGTAATCTACTAGTAGCATAATAAAAATGGATTAAAAAAATGTATTTGTGTAAATGAATGTTAAACCAGCTTGCCATAAAAACCTGCGCAAACCATCGAAGCCACTGGATTGGGACGCCGCTGTGACGTAGGCCTAAATGACCCAGTTCAGATTGCGCATCCTTTCACCACATTCACAGGACCAAACTCATAACAGGCAAAGGGCTTGAATAACAGAATTAATCACTGAACTATTTGTCTACACTTCTGTGGGAGTTAAAACAGGCGCTTGTTCATTTTTTTTATCCAGATCTCCCGTTCGATTTCGCCATTCTGCAATCATGATGCCGGTAAGTTTGTGACAGCTGATGGTACTTTACTAGCGCTCAAACTCAGAACTGTCATTCAGGATTATGACTGACAGCTCTGTCAAAATTCATTCATAACTTGTGTATACATTGCGTTATGAGTTATCATGAAGGAATGCGGCTCTTATGTCTTGTCAATCATAGTTAGGGAAGCAGTCATGCTGTATTTTGTCAAGTGGGTGTAGTGTGGATTTTAACATTAAATTGTAGGAGGCGTGTTATGACTATGGCCTATCTGTTATAACAATCAATGTTAGGGGTGAATTCAGGGACACTTTTCCCAAGTCATCTCAATGGCAAAAAGTGTCCCAATCACTCTGAATTCACCCTATAGGCTACATTTTAAGACAACAGTAGGTATGGCTTCTCAGATTTTGATTTAAATCAGTTAATTGCTTGACTCTAAATAATCCTAGAGCAAATGAAATGCACAAAATCCAGGATGGCAGGATCTCTTTATAAATGGCCCCAAAACGTATTTGGACACTTGCACTCTTTTAAACATATTGGACACATTATCCACTCTGTATTTTTGTCCTATTGAAATAGGTATTTGTTCAAGTTCAATTTGGATTTGAACAAATACCTATTTTAATGGAACAAAAATACAGAGTTGTGTATTTCGTTCCTATAAAGCTTTATAATCTAGAATCACTTTGCTTTATTTGATACTTTGCACACTTGGTTTGATATTGTGTATGTGTGTGTGTGTGTGTGTGTGTGTGTGTGTTTGTGGCCTGGGAAACCCTAAATTATGGGGACAAAATGAGTCCACAAAGATGGGAATATCCCAAATCCTTGTCCTTGTGGGGACATTGTTTGGTCCCCATGAGGAAAACTGCTTATAAATCATACCAAGTGATGATTTTTGAAAATGTAAAACTGCAGAAAGTTTCCTGTGATGGGTTAGGTTTAGGGGTAGGGTTTGTGAGGATCGAATTTCTGTTTGTACAGAATAAAAATCATTATGTCTATGGAAAGTCCCCATAAAGCGTGTGTGTGTGTGTGTGTGTGTGTGTACCATTATAGTAATGAAAGCAATTTTCACGTGCAGTTGACAGATAAACTGTGTGCTCCTATTTCAGTGTTGTTGTTGAGTATTTTCAGCAAGCAATTTGCTTCGTACATTCAGATTAACAGCATTAAAGAGGGCAAATGTTATCACTCAACTGAACTTTATATGGATTGTAATCGCATCATGTTCTTCGTCTATAAATGCATTAAATGCAAATCCCCGAATGAGCGCGGTTTTGTAGCGTATATTTAATTCAACTGCTCAGGTAATATTAATTGTATGATCCATTTCAGGGGTGGCTAAAATTGTTATTTAAATTCAGTCAGAGCTTGAAATGTATCTTCATATTTTTTCCAATATTGGATTATTTTCCTTTATGTTCCTTGCATTTATAAGGATTGTCCCACCAATTAGAAAACATTGTGTCTTTTACTGCTTTCACTGATATTTATTCTACATTCTTCATTTCTGCATTTCTTGTATAGTTTCTGAGTGAGAGTGATGCAGTTGTGGCTGTGTTGAATGAAAACCTCATAGCCTGCGGGGAGTATTTTAAGGCGCTGTGCGGTGAGCTGTGGAAAAGTTGTCAGAATTCCGAAATTGTGACACACTCAGGGTTGTGTGCTTTTAAATCCCTCACACCCTATAAATCCCGGAGCACTTTTTCCCAGCCATTGCACCGAATATTGTTAGAGAAGAAACTGTCATTTTATCGTCCATCTCCATGAGGCAGCTGACAGTGTCCCTCAATAGAAGACATTAGAGCAGAGATTACAGGGAGAGCAAGATGGGGTCAAAGTTCAAAGGTGAAAGAAAAGAGCATCCTCTGTACTGAAGTTAACCCTTGTCACCTTTGCACGCGCAGTCACATTTAGAGTTAATGGACTGCACACGTCCCCTGTAGTGAATTACACAGTCAAGTGATTCCTTCACTTTTGACTGCATGTTTTGCCCTGTTTGCTTTCATGAGACCAGCGGAAAAAAATCTGTTAATGTTAAATTCCAACACAGACATGCATGTGCGATTAACCTCAGGTCTTCAGATTGACATGTAACTAAAAAAGTACTAGAGCTTAGATGTCCTTATATATTGAGCTTAAGAATTGATTTTCCAAACACACCCAGATCAGTATTTTATTTTCAGGGCGGTGGTTTATGTTGAGTTACTGTGCATATGAATTTTTATAACTCTAGAACTGCTGGATGGGGAAATGCAGAAGTAATTTCTTCCTTTGGGACAAGATAAATAAAATATCAAATATGAGCAAGCAGAAATATCTGTCCTCATGTTAAGTTAAAGTCTTTTCAGAAGTTTGCCACTTACAATAAGCGAGAGATATTTTGTTTTGCTGTAAAATTCCTCACAGCATTTTGAATATTCATGAACAAAAGCAAATAGTGCAAAGTTTATGACAGCTATTTTCTGTGACAAGTGTTAGTTTACTTTTGCATATTGAGGCAGTAAATATAAAGATGTGAACTGTTTACTTCACAGCTTGTTCTTTTCCTGTAGAACTGAATATGAGCCATGACGGAATTTCATTTGAACATGCTGTGAGAACACGAATCTGTCTCTCCTTGTCAATTTCCAGTTATAGCTTGAACAAAATCGGTCAGGGGTTTTCAAACTAGGGTCCGCAAGAAAGTGCTTGGGAAAATAAACTGAAAAGTGTGAAAATAAATAAATAAATTAAAAATAAGATTAAAATAAATATATGAAAATGAGATTAAAATAAATGAATAAATAGTTCAAATTTGATTAAAATAGGTGATTAAAACAATAAATCTAACAGTATAGAACCAAATTAAGAAGAAAAAAGTTATGTAACAGTATTTTCTAAATAATATTTTACATTGCTGTAGTATATACAGTAAGTGCTGGCTAGATTACTTTCAAATTGTATCCGGTTACTGATTCCGAATTACATGACAAAAATAGTTAGCAACGTAATCCATTACTTTACACATTTAAGGTAATCTAGGGAACCCTGCACGTAATGTAATATTTAATGCACTTCATGCTGTTGATAAAAAAGAAT